TATCCAAGAGGTCTATACATATCCTGCCACCATCTGTCAAACTACCAGAACTTTGTCATGTAGTAACCAATTGCAATCCCTCCATCCACCACCACCCCCACACACCTCACCCCTCGGCAGAGCTGGAGTGTCTAGTAAATCTCATGATGCTGGCTCTCAGTGAAAATTCACTGACCAGTTTACTTGATGAGGTTGCAGATGCTTGATTTATGGCATAATGAGCTGAGAGAACTGCCTTCAGTGATATATAGGCTAGATTCTCCCCGCCCCCCATACCTTCATTTGAATCATATAACGACTGTGGGAAAGGACATAAAAAGCTGCTGAAACTCAGTACACTCAGCACTGGAGAGAACGAAGTCAAACAGCTGTCTCTAACCGATGAATTATGTAGCCTCATTACAAATCTGGGTGTAGCTCCCAATCAGCTTGAACACCTTCCAAAGGAGATTGGAAACTGCACACAGATGAACAGTCCTGACTTGCAGCACAGTAACCCTCCCAGATACAATAGGAAACCGGTCCAGTTTAAATCTCCCTGGCCTGAGACATAATAGATTGTCAGCAATTTCCAGATCATCCGCAAATGCCGTGGCTTGGGGTCTAAATTTAGAAAACAGTAACATTTTTACTCCACCAGAGGAAACAACTTGGAGAGTATAATGATGTTTCCTGTGGTTGCTGTTGCTAGGTTGAGATTCCTGGATAGACTCCATCATGATTATTTGGAATTATCACTACCACAGGACAAAAATCCATACAGTCTGGCTCTTGGGACTGGATCTGATATCTGTGGGTTTGGGGGTATTGAGACCTTTCCTAGAATAAATATATTTTCTTAACTTTGGAGAAACAGAAACATGGTGAAGGTTTTGTTTGTTTGTTTTGTTTGTTTGTTTGGGTTTTTTGTCTTGTTTTGTTTTTCTCCGAGACAGGGTTTCTCTGTGTAGCTTTGCGCCTTTCCTGGATCTCACTCTGTAGACCAGGCTGGCCTTGAATTCACAGAGATCCGCCTGGCTCTGGCTCCCGAGTGCTGGGATTAAAGGCATGCGCCACCATCACCTAGTGGTGAAGGATTTTTTTGTTGGTTTGTTTTTTCTTTTCTCATTTCTGAAAGTTGCAGATCCACAAAAATTTATGAAAAGTATGGCAAATTACACAAAAGACATATTCTGTATATGCTCTATGTATTCATTATATCATTAACTACAATAAGTAATTTTAAAGACATCTCCCTTGTACAATGAGATGAGTGTCTCTCTCTAAAGACTGCAGTGTATGTATATCTCAAGGTTATTTAACAGTGTCTACAGTTTTATATCTTGACCTACTTTGTGTATCCTTCTCTTCTGGGGTATTGGTGTCTTCACACTGTGCTCTATTGCTGCTGAACTAAATGCACTTTCCCCATTTGTGGGGCAGTGGCCTCGAGCAATTCAGTTCAGGGCCGTTGCCTTTAACCCCACCCCTCCTTTACTGGTAGGTGATAGTACAGTTCTAGAAAATGGACACATTTTGTAGATGCCATTGGTAGTTCGTGGAAGTTATGTGGGATGTGGGTATACTATTTGATGACACTTTCTTTCACTTCACGAACAGCAAGATGGTGATTGTGCACCCCTTCCATAGCACTCTTAGTTTTTGTAATGCTGGTCTAGGTCATTTTAATCATTGAAGAGACCTAGAGCAGGTACATCCCAGACACCAACCTTAAACACACTTCCCATATAATGAAGAACTACATATGACTGTAATTACGTATTGCTGTCTGGTTTTGTGTTTTGTCATTGCCCCTACGTATTTTGTTGGGCAATTTGTTCTAAACAACATTTTTTAGAATGAAAACTGTAGTATCAAGATAAGAATTTGGACTTTTGCTCTTCCTGGTACTTGGACTCAGACAGGTAGAAATCTGTGTTCATAATTGGCAAATTTGTAAGGAGCAGCTAAGAAATAAAGACAAGTAAATATTTAAAACCCTGGCATGCTTAAATGTTCTGAAAAACTGTTGCAGATGTTCACTGCGTTTTACCAAGCAGTGACCCTCTGCTTCTCCATCTATGGTGTCTTTTCAGTCACATTTTGTTTATAAAAAGAATTGTTACAATTCTACCTAGAATTTGTGTGTGAGTGTGATTTTTTTCAAAGTAAATCTCATAGCCAAATATGTTTTTATATTAAGATTATGGAACTTAAACTTGAGAGGTAATGGCCTAGTGCCTTTTCTTGAGAATATACGTGAGAACATATAAAAATTTTAAACATCTTTGGATCCCTTCTGTTTGCTCTCGATAGCTTTCTTTGATGTCATTCTTTTCTTAATGAAATCAAAAGGGAAAGTGAAATGTCTTTCACTGTTGCCAAATATCCAGTATTTAGTATCCTAAGCTTCCTGAGAACAAGGCTTCAGTCCCCCCTGAGGGGTTTGCATAACAACTGTCACAGCACACAGAGGGAAAGCCCCTGAGTACCGAATGTTCTTTGGATAATGACTGGCACAAAGTAAGTGTTTAGGAGGGAAGTGTACATTGACTTAAAAATCTTGGCTCTTGTGGGGTAGTGGTGGCGCACGGCTTTAATCCCAGCACTTGGGAAGCAGGTGGATCTCTGTGAGTTCGAGGCCAGCCTGGTCTACAGAGTAAGTTCCAGGCCAGCCAGAACTACACAGAGAAACCCTGTCCAACAATAATATCATTGCATCCTGAGTCCTGTAAGACGTTTCTGTTTGGAGCTTTCTTTTCTTTAAGGATTAAGGTGTGACACTGATGTGAGGTCTATCACAATCCTTGGAAACGCTTTCCTAGTGTGTGACTGTGAGTCGCTTAAACTTTCCTTGTTACCATTTTCCTGACGGCGGGTGGAAAGGAATAATGGTGCCCATAGCACCGAGGTGTTACCGTGTCAAATGCTCCTCCGCACACTGCCCAGCACACATTGTTCCCTTCCACTGTTACTGTTGGCAGTGCTGGGGACTTTATTAAGGTTTGCCGGATCGCGCTTTTAGTGCCCTTGTGATAAGAGGTAAATGGCAGAAGATCCAGATACTTAGAGCCCTTCATAGCGCAGAAATGCTTCAGTGTGTGGAGCCAACACAGAGCGTAAGGTACACGCTGAAAAAGAAACTTCAGGATGGTGTGGGGGGGAAGGACAGGACTCTGTACAGGCGACTTACTCCAAGGAAGGACTGTCCAGTCATTGTTAGCATAGTTCCGTCTGGTAATGGACAGCTTATTCAGCCTTTGACTTGGCAAGTTTCAATTTAATTTCATCTGCCTAGATAATTCGACTTAATGAGTAACCACCTCTCCCTTCATTTTCAGTAAATACCCAGTGAAAAGACCTTGTGTGCCAGGCACAGTTCTAGGCGCTCAGGATATTGTGAACTTGGTAACAGTAAATGCAATGGATTCAAATACCTTCTCAGAACTTCCAATTCTCATCATGGAAGATAGATAACAAAGATAAATGTGATTCCCATCAAGAGCCCTGCCTATCGGGAGGTGCTGTGAGCAGAAGACAAGGGTACAGGCAGGGTGAGGTGTCAGGAAAGGCCAGAGGCAGTATAATCATCCCTGCAAGTGTGGTCTTACCCATTTTCGTCACTGTGTTCAGCTCTGGCTCATCTTCCTGAAACAGAAGCCTCACTTTTGAATTGATGAGAGCCCAGAAAAGAAGCTGATGTTATCCTTTGTCATAGAGATTAATTGCCACTTTATTATCATCTAAAATGTAGAACTACTGGGTGGACAGGAATATAAAACATGTTCAGACATGCCCTCTTCTTGTAGTTAGTCTATGGGAGAAGTCACATTATCATTAGAAGCTCTTCTGATGAGCACAAACTCTGAGAAACAATATAAATCGACAGGTCAGAAGGAGGTGCCCTCCTTGGGGCAGAGCTCAACAAGTGTGACACCCTCCCTCGCACAACCACAATCGGTATCCCTGGTGAGGAGAGAGTGGCCATCAGACACTTCCAGATGGGATGCTCTGAGGACACACTTCACCCATATGGCACATGGGCCAGCCGGAATATGTAACCCCAGACAGCGAGAGCATCCTGAAACATCAAGCTCCTTCAGGTGCGGGCATCCTCTCCAAACATGTTTGCTTGTTTGTATACATGAGATCCTACGTTGCACAGACTAGTCTCAAACTCTTAGGCTCTGGACATCCTCCTGCCTCAGTCTTCTGGACAGTTAAGAGTATGGGCATGTGTTTTGAATGCTTCCTTAAAATCAGTCACCATTTGAAAACTGAAGGGCTGCCTGACACCAGAGAAAAGTGTAAAAATCCAAAATCACAGTCCTAAAAGTTCTTGCAAGATTTGAGAAGTTTATCTTCCTTGACTTTTCATTTTAAAAGAAAATCCCTGGATGTACGGGAGGAAATGCAAAAGTTAGAAACTTGTAAAATGATAATCTCCTCTCCCGAGAGCGCTACAGGCAGTTTGAAAAAATCTCCAGATTTACCTTCTGTTCTGACTGCTGTATAATGTTTATGGCTGAATAATTAAGTCGTTCTCATCTTCACATTGAGTATAGAAAGTCTGCCTTAAAATGATCTTATATCGTTGTCTGAGATCAAAATATGGTTGAAAACTATCAGTTAAAATGGCTTCAGTTTGCTGCTTGGTAGTAACTGAGTTGGAATCATGAAGATGTGCTAGAAATGTATGTCAGATTTTGATTTGAAAATAAATGGCACACGCCTTTAATCCCAGCACTCGGGAGGCAGAGCCAGGCGGATCTCTGTGAGTTCGAGGCCAGCCTGGTCTCCAAAGCGCAAAGCTACACAGAGAAACCCTGTCTTGAAAAACCTAAATAAATAAATGAATGAATGAATGAATGAATGAATGAATGAATAAATAAATAAATAAATAAATAAATAAATAAATAAATAAATAAATAAATAAAATGAAAAGATTCTCTTTTTTTTCCTCCCAAAATATCAGTTTCTGGATTTAAGTCTAATTCTGCGCTTACGTGTGTTTCTTCCAGGGCTAGTGGTTGGATTTATCTTAACCATTGCAAATTTCAGCTTTTTTACCTCGCTGCTGATGTTTTTCCTCTCATCTTCAAAACTCACCAAATGGAAAGGAGAGGTGAAGAAGCGTCTAGATTCGGAATATAAGGAAGGTGAGATGAATTATTCTGACACTGCTTCATCCTAACAGGAGCTTTGGATCAGAAGCCTTTAGGCTGGCAGAACAGATGAATCTTATCTGAGGACGGCTTCTGTAGCCTAATTCAATTCATTATTTCTTGTGCCACAATAACAAGTAACTGCAGGATTTTCGTGCGAGTCTGCTGTTATTCATTCTGCGTTTATTAATAACAGTATAGAATATGGACAAAGATACCTTGCCACTTTTATTTTTTTAAGCTACTATACTTTTCTGAAACTTAAAAATATATGTTTCTATAAATGATTTTTTTTTTCTTTTTCTTTCCATTCTCCATCTGCTTGCCTGTCTCCAGGAGGCCAAAGGAACTGGGTTCAGGTATTCTGTAATGGAGCCGTGCCCACGGAGCTGGCCCTGCTGTACATGATAGAGAATGGCCCCGGGGAAATGCCCATAGATTTCTCCAAGCAGCCCACTGCTTCCTGGATGTGTTTGTCTCTCTTGGCTGCGCTGGCCTGCTCTGCTGGAGATACCTGGGCTTCTGAGGTTGGCCCCGTTCTGAGCAAAAGCTCACCTCGGCTGATAACAACCTGGGAGAAAGTTCCAGTTGGTGAGTTTGTATGTGTGTGTGTCTGTGTTGCATATGCACACATTTGGAAGCCAAAGGTCAGGCTTGGGTGTATTTTTCAGGAAGCCATCCACTCTGTTTTTTGGACAGTGTCTTATTGGTGAAATTATTAAGGCCACTCCACGTAGTTAAAAAGGAGGTTTATTTTGTGGGGTAATTTACAAGTGAAGGGATAGTTTACAGGGTCTGGAAAAGGTGTGTTGCAGTCCGGTAGTGTTCTCTGGAGAACTCTGCTTGGTGTAGCTCCAGCGACCAGGGTCCAGGAACCAAGAGAGCTGGCGCATCCGGAACTTGGGTCTTCAGGGTCCTCTCTCTCAGCCCCGCCTTGTAGGCGTGACAGTTACCGAAGCCTCAGTGGGGTTTGGAACTTCCAGATCAAAGCTGGAATGGCTGCCCACTACAGTGTCTCTCCTTGGTCTAGTGCTCTCCGAGTAGGCTATGCTGGCAGAACAGCAGGCCGGAGGGACGAACCTGCCTCACCAGTCCTGGGGTTGCAAGCACATGGTACCACACCCGGCTTTTTCCTTGGGTTCTGGGAACTGAACCCAGGCTCTTGGGCTGACATGGCCATCACCTTTCTGACAGGGCCTTCTCCCCAGCCCCAGCTGTGAGTCTTGATTTGAGTTTGCTTAATGCAAACTAAGAGCCAAACCTCTTGAGTTAATGTTTTCTTTTAGAGCCTTTTACAGTTTATATTTGGTCTTCTTAATTGTAAGTTGGTGATTACATCTGTAGAGAATGTGAATGAGCACAGAGCAATGGAAAGGGAAGAAAGGCGGACACTCAAGTATTGAGGGCCATATGTTTTTGAGACAGGGTCTCTGTGTGGCATTGGCCATCCTAGAACTCACTCTGTAGACCAGGTTGGCCTTGAACTCACAGAGATCTGTCTGCCTCTGCCTTCCAAGTGCTGGGATCAAAGGTGTGCGCCATCACCACCCGGCTCAATTATATTTTTTTTTAAATTTTTTTTTTTTTTTTTTTTTTTTTTTGGTTTTTCGAGACAGGGTTTCTCTGTGTAGCTTTGTGCCTTTCCTGGAACTCACTTGGTAGTCCAGGCTGGCCTCGAACTCACAGAGATCCACCTGGCTCTGCCTCCCGAGTGCTGGGATTAAAGGCGTGCGCCACCACTGCCCGGCCCAATTATATTTTTAACATACAGTTGGCCCTACAAATCTATGGGTTCAATCGACATTGGATTATATATAGCTAAAGAAAACAGTTTGATGGTGGGGGCGGGCTTGAGAGATAACTGAGCAGTTAAGAGTGCTTGTTCTTACAGAGGACTCAGTTCAGTTCCCAGCACCATCATGGCGGCTCACAACTATACCTCCAGTTCCAGAGGTACCTCAGACCCTCTTCTGACCTCACGGCACCAGGCATGCACACACCGTGCACAGACATACATGCAAACAAAACACTCATAAGCAAAAAATAAAATTTTATAAAACGGAGGGTTGCTGGAGAAATAGCTGAGTAAGTAGTTAAGTGCACTGGGTGTTTCCTGGAGGATCCAGGTTTGGTTCCCAGTACCCACATGGCGATTCACAATCCCTGCAGTTCCAGGGGATCTGATGGCCTCCTTAGCCATCAAACACAAACTGATGTGCTGACATGCATGTAGGCAAAGCACTCATAAACAGAAAAAAAAATCTTAAAAAGAGCAACCCTTCCAGTCCTTTTTCCTTATGATTACTCACTAAACAATGTTGTGTAACTATTTACAGTAACTATTTACAGTGTAGTAGTAACTTTAGAGGGGAGAGGACAGGGTTGATCTGTGTAGCTGGCCTCGAACTCAGAGATCCTCCAGCCTCTGCCACCAAGTGCTGGGATTAAAGGCATGTGCCACCATGCCTGATGTAGTAATTATGAGTAATCTAAAGTATGTGGAAAGGAGGCTGTTAATAGGTTATATGCAAATAGAATTATCTTTTGATTTTATTCCTGTGATCCTAGAGATCAAAATTTTGCATATGTTCGTGTCTCAGAGTTTCCCTTCCCGTTGCTGTGATAAAATACTCTGACTAGAGGCCAGGCGGTGGTGGCGCACGCCTTTAATCCCAGCACTCAGGAGGCAGAGCCAGGCGGATCTCTGTGAGTTTGAGGCCAGCCTGGGCTACCAAGTGAGTTCCAGGAAAGGTGCAAAGCTACACACAGAAACCCTGTCTCAAAAAAAAAAAAAGAAACATAAGAGAAAAGTGTTTATTTGGCTCACACTTCCAAGTTACGTCCCATCATTACAGGGAAGTCAGGGCAGCAGAGAACTTGAAGCAGGTGGTCACGTCACAGCCACAGTCCAGAGCCAAGAGCCGTCCGTTAATGCATACCTTTGGTGTTCCACTGGCTTTCTCTGTCTACTCTTGTACAGTCCAAGATCCCTGCCCAGGGCATGATACAGGTCTTCCTGCCTCATTTACTGTAACCAAAGTAATCCCCAACAGGCACGCCCACAGGCCAGCCTGATCTAGACAGTCCTTCCCTGAGGCACTTCCCAGGTGACGCTAACTTTTGTTAAGCTGACAATTAAACTAGCCGTCATGCTCACCCACTTTCCCGCTGAGCTGCCTCCCCAGCCTAGAGGACTTTCTCCCAACTCCAGCATGGTTTCGCTTGTGTATAACCTGGTAAGATAGCTGACAGCACACAAGTTGGGGATAGACTGTGGTTGCCAGTGCCTAGAGAGAAGAGAGAGATGAGGAAAGATCAACAGTGGGGCTCAGTAGACACAAGTGAGGTTCTGGTATTGTAGTCTAGAGCAGGTGACTAGAGACAACTTAGGCTAGGTTATCCTTTGTAAGAGCTAGAAATATGGGATGTTTAATGCTTTCACCATAAGGAATGACAAGTATTTGAGGTAGCTGTGGGTCCCGTGATCTAAATAGTCAACAGTGTATGTATGTATTCCCATGGCAGTGTCCCATAAGTGTGTGCAACTTTCACATTAGCAGCATTTTGATTTTTGTTTCTTGGGGGCAGAGGTGGGTTCTGGGGATTGAACCTGGGATCTCATGTGTGCTTGGCAAGTTCTCTCTACCACAAGCTGCATCTCCAGTCTCTATGTATTGGTTGTTTGTTTTTTGTGTTTTTTTTTTAAGAGAGAGAGTGCTCTTTTCTTTGAATTCATTTTAATTAGGCATGTACCTAATTCATTTAAATTAGGCATGTGTGGGGTTTTGTTTTGTTTTGCTCACCTTGGTATCCCTCACTTGCTGAGTCCTAACCAGATGATTTGGTGTGTTTCTCCTTCAGGAACCAACGGAGGCGTCACCGTGGTGGGGCTCGCCTCCAGTCTCCTTGGTGGTACCTGTGTGGGCCTGGCCTACTTCCTCACACAGTTGCTGTTTGTGAATGATTTAGACATCTCCGCTCCCCAGTGGCCCATAATTGCATTTGGAGGTCTGGCTGGGTTACTGGGCTCAGTTGTGGACTCATACTTAGGGGCAACAATGCAGTTTTCTGGTAAGAGCATCTTTTTTTTTTCTTTTGTTTTTTCCGAGACAGGGTCTCTGTAGCTTTGGAGCCTGTCCTGGAACTCACTCTGTAGACCAGGCTGGCCTCGAACTCACAGAGATCCGCCTGTCTCTGCCTCCCGAGTGCTGGGATTAAAGGCGTGCGCCACCACTGCCGGCTGTAAGACAGCATCTTATTGTAACTTTTGTTTGAAGAAATAGGGAAAAAATATGAACACTTTAAAAACTTGAAAAAAAAAATGTACCAATGAAACCAACCCAAATGCCAGAAGTGACAGGGGAAATCTCTATAATTTTGGTTTTCTTATTCTTTTGTGTTAAACTAATTCAGAGAGATTTCTAAATCCTAAGGAACAGTGATTATAGTGCAAGAAACAGACTTTGATTTTGAGCTGGCACCAAGTCAGTCCTAGAAAAACAGGACACTTGGATCAGAACTTTTTTTTTAAAGATTTATTTATTTATTTTGTACGCCTGCCGGCCAGAAGAGAACACCAGATCTCATTACAGATGGTTGTGAGCCACCATGTGGTTGCTGGGAATTGAACTCAGGACCTCTGGAAGAGTAGCCAGTGCTCTTAACCTCTGAGCCATCTCTCCAGCCCTGGATCAGATCATTTTAATGCCCCTCCTTCCCTTTGTTTTTGCCCAGTGCATTCGATAATTATACTCGTCTGGCTACGTGAGTGGCCTGCTTTCCTGTGGTGGTTATGCCCACCATGACGTTCTGTCCTCACCCCTGAGGCTTTTGTCTCTCGGTTGATTTGTTTCTAAAACAAGCTCTTGTTGTATTGCCCAGGTTGGCCTTAAACTCCTGCGCTTAAAGCTTCCTTCCTGCCTCAGCGTTCCTAGTGCCTGGGACTTCCCTGAGTTGTCACCAGTTAAGTTTTTACTCATGATATGTGGGAACTGGAGAGTTGACTCAGCACTTAAGAGTGTTTGCTGCTCAATCAATCATGGGGACCAAAGTCCAGATCCCAGCACCCACATCCAACTGTCCATAGCTCTGACTCCAACTCCAAGGGACCTGACTTCCTCCACGTGCACCCACACGTGTGCTTGTGCAGACAGACCCATGCACAAGCACACACAGTCTTAAAGAGAAAATATGTAAGTGTGAGTTTTAGTGTGCCTGCATTTTATTCTGTTTGTGCTGTTTTTGAAAATGTTGGGAGTAGGTGGTTTATTACGGGCAGAAACTATGATCAAGCCCTCAGTAGATGCAGGATCCAGTGGTGGCTCACTGTGTCCAAGTTAGCACCTTGTCGCTGTGTCCTCCTGTGAGCAGAGGGCCCAGCTGCTCCCTGCAGTCTCTTTTCAGAAGGTCGTCAACCCTGTTCGTGAGAGCACAGCTCTCGGGTTTGATTGCCTCCCCCACCCCAGCTCTACGTGCTGTCACATCCAGTCCCCAGCTCTACATGCTGTCACATCCAGTCTTCCCTTACAGCAGAAGCACAGACGTGAGTCCCAACCGCCTTCTTTGCAGCCATACCACACTGGTCCCTGATGTCCCGTTCTGAGGCCAGATGTGACCCCAGATGTCGGACCCCCACGTTTGTCCTGGAGAGACCACTGGGAAGCCAGGTCTTCCATTCCTAAAGGAACTCCAGAGATATGAGAGCCCACTGCTGAGGTGCTGTAAAGTCCCCCTGTGCAGGAAGGTCTTTTAGAATCAAGGATTTTCAATATAACACCATGTCAGTCATGCCCCACATCATTGTACAAAGCACCGAGACTCTTGCACAGATTGTCTCCTCTGGAGAAAAGTGCTTGTTTGCTCTTCCTAACGGTCGCTTGGTCTCCCACACCATTTTCCTCCTTCTATCTCAGGTCTGGATGAAAGCACCGGGCTGGTGGTCAGCAGCCCGGCCCGGGAGACCAAGCACATAGCAGGGAAGCCCATCCTGGACAACAACGCCGTGAACCTCTTCTCCTCAGTCCTGGTCGCCCTCTTGCTCCCAACAGCTGCTTCGGGCTTTTGGCCCAGAGAGTGACCTTTCTTTCCTTCCCAACTGGGTGATACTGGTGAGTCCAGCTGAATTTGCCATGTGAAGATTTTTTTCCCTAGTGAATAATTTCACCAACCTTGGGGATGCCGGCTCCTCCCGTGTTCCATTGTGGTGGGATTCCATGCTGCCCTTTCAGCTCCTTTCATAGCTGATGTTTTTGTGGTGAAAGGTGAAAGTGCGTAAAAGTTATGCACATTTTTCTTCTGCTGCATGAAGCTTCGTGATCGATGGAGCTGTTATTTCCTCTGTGGTTGTGTGTTGAACTGAGAGTCTACATGGTCTCCATAAAATGTTGTTTTGTTCAGCTTCTAAAAACCAAGTGTGTTGACAATTGAAAATGGTTTCCACTTGTATAGAAACATACCACTATGACAATTGCCCCAAAGTTATATCTGCTTTAATGACTTAACCCAGTACACATGGAAGCCCAAAGAAGTACACTAACTGGAACTTTCCCCATTCTCTTTCAAGTCACAACTGTGAAAAATGCAGGCACTGGTACTCCACGTTTTTCTTCCTTTCTCCCAACTAATAATGTCATTGTTTGGACAAATTTCTTTTTCATCACATTAGAAAATGTAAAGAAAAAAAAATTTTTTTTTTTTTTTGGTTTTTCGAGACAGGGTTTCTCTGTGTGGCTTTGCACCTTTCCTGGAACTCACTCAGTAGCCCAGGCTGGCCTCAAACTCACAAAGATCCGCTTGCCTCTGCCTCCCGAGTGCTGGGATTAAAGGCGTGCGCCACCACCGCCCAGCAAGAAAATTATTTTTTACAAAAAGAAATCACTTAAAATTTCACCTTCTGGATTAAGGTATATCTTGGTGGTAACACTCACCTCAGATACACAGTACCCTGGTTTAGATGCCCAGCACTGAAAGGAAGTTTACACTTTATGCGTTCATGTCTTTGAAATACACATAAGAATCTGGGTGTCACACTGCCATGTGGAAGAGTTAATGAGTCACTGGAAAAATAGTGTAATTATTTTTTAAATTTACTTTCATTTGAACTTTGAACTTAATTTTGTAAGTGCCTGGAAATGCTGTGATTTCCTATCAGGAACCTTGTAAGTCATGCGTTCCTTTTCTTTGTAGCCTCAGCCTAAGTGGATTCTGTTTGTGACTGTGTTCTTCACTGTGTCTTACCTTGTACAAAAGAGGTTTTGAAGGAGCAGGTTATTTTATTAAATATGTCCTAAAATATTCCTTGTCTGATTTCCTATCCTTTCTTCCACTTCCCACTTCCATTCTTGATGAAATCAAGGAAGAACTCCCTGAATAAACTACTACCAGAGTGAATGCCACTCACTTACTATTTCTAGTAGTGTCTACCGTCATAGGTTATTGATTTAAAACTTGATTGGACTGGAGAGAAAATGAAACTGTTGACACCCTTACTCCTGAAATCATCAACTCAGCCATTCAAAAGCATTGGCTTTTAATATTGGGTATACTTTTCTAAGCGCCTGAAAATGTAGAAAAAGTACTGATGTCTGTGGTGCAGTTCGGGAACTGAACTTTAAAGCTCTGCACATGAGAGTAGTGTCCAAATTTTCAAACACTGTTGTCAAGGCCCCTTTCTAGACCAGGCAGGTCAGACAGCCCTGTGCTCTTCTTGTATGTGGCCTACTCCACATTTGAGTCTTTTTTTGACAACTCTGTTATATATGTAGGGTACTGGCTATAGAAATGGCAACCCTGTAGGTGGAGTTTTCCTGTCCACCAAATAACCAACATGGAGACTTAAGACTATAAATGCTCGGCCAATAGCTCAGGCTTGTTACTAACTAGCTCTAACAACTTAACCCATTTCTGTTAATCTATGTGCTGTGCAGAAGCTCATGGCTTTTATCTCCATCTCATTTTGTGTGTCCAACTTGTTCTTCATCTGGCTGGCAACTCTCTTACTCTGTCTTTCCTCATCCCATCATTCTCAGTTTGGCTATCCTGCCTAACTTTATCCTGTTCAGCTATTGGCCAGTCAGCTTGTTTATTAAACCAATCATAGTGACATATACCCACACAGTGTGCAGAAGGATTATTCCACAGCACAACCCCACCCCAGTCACCTTCAGTCTACTAAGTGAAAAGTAGTGTGGAATAGGATGTCTGGAAATTTGTCGTGTGCCTGCAATGTGAACAGCTACTGCCTTCTAGCCATGAAGACCCTAGGACTGGTCATCTGTCCTCCTTATGGGTTAGCCACTGTTCCAATGTCACCACAATGAGAATGAACTGTCCTGGCAGCCACAACCCAGAGGAATTACAGCATGCCATAGAAACAAAAACACAATGTGCAGCTTAGTGATTCCATCTGCTTACAGAATATCTGTTGCCTTAACTCCATGTGGTCCTGAGTATTTTTAAAAATACAGAATTCCATAAGTACTTGTTAAGTTAATTTGAGTGACTTGGGAGTAGAGTCCTGGGGTAGAGGGGGCGGTGAATAAGAAATACCAGTTTGGCTACCTGGATGATTCCAGCATTTCTCAATTGTGTGAAACAGTGTTAACGACTGTGAAACTAGTGAGTCAGGAACTTACGGTAGGAGGAGTGACAGACTGGCAAGGCAGGGTGTCTGGGCTTGTTCTTCTGCCAACACAAATGTCCATTCTCTTTTGTTTGTTGTACTTGCTCTCTAAAATTTTATAAATGTGAACATTTCTTTTAAAAAGATTTGTTTGTTTTGCCGGGCAGTGGTGGTGCACGCCTTTAATCCCAGCACTTGGGAGGCAGAGCCAGGCGGATCTCTGTGAGTTCGAGGCCAGCCTGGGCTACCAAGTGAGTTCCAGGAAAGGTGCAAAGCTACACAGGGAAACCCTGTCTCGAAAAACCAAAATAAATAAATAATAAAAAAAATAAAAAGATTTGTTTTGTTTTTCACTGTGTATCTGTGTGTGTTTCTGTGCACCCGAGTGCAGAGGACAGAAGCAGGCGTCTGAACCCCTGGATTAGAGGTGCAGGCATGATGAGACGCCCTCTGTGACTGCTGGGAACTGAACCCGGGTCCTCTGGAACAACAGCAAATGCTCTTAACCCCTGAGCCGTCTCTCAGCCCCCTGATACATTCTTTGAAATGTTTTAGAACATTGGCCATCAAAGGTGGTGGTGCACACCTTTAATTTTAACACTCTGGAGGCAGAGGCATGTGGATCTCTTAAGTTCTAGGCTAGCCTGATCTACATAGTGAGGGCCAGAACAGCCAGAGAGACCCTGATTCGGGGGGAAAAACAAAAACAACAACAAAAAAAACCCTGAACGATTCTTTTTAAAATGTCATACTGTTTCAGGGTTGTGTGTGCACACAGTGTGTGCAGTGTATGTACTTGACTTGGAATTTTACATTTGAACACCTTGTTATATGCCAACATTCTCAATGTAATGTTGTGCAATTCTGGAACACAGAATTTTAAGGAAGCTCACGTGCCCATTGCACAGGTATTATTAGCTAAGACAGACATGGGCCGTTCACTAGTGAGTCTCGTCTTTCCTCAGGTGTTTATGCTCCTTCCCATTGTGTGCACTGCTCACTAGCCTGGAACTCTTCTTCCTCTCTTATTATCTCACAGAAATCATCCCGATGACACTTCTGTAAGAAGCATCCTCAGGTTCTCCCAGGCAGAGTTACTGTCGCACACGTTCTGTGCTTTAACTGGAGAAGCTGTGACACACTCGGCATCCATCTCCCTGTGTCCCATGTCCTGAGGTGGCTGCAACAGGACCAGCTCATCCAACCTCCGCTGCCATGCCTTTCCCACCATGGCGGACTGTACCCTCAACCAACCACATGGTAGAAGGAGAGAACAGAGTCCCTCAGGTTGTCTTCTGACCTCCGTGTTCACACACACACACACACACACACACACACACACACACACAATAAATGTAAAAACAATGTTTTTAAGATTACAGAAACGAGCTGGAGAGATGGCTCAGAGGTTAAGAGCAGTGACTGCTCTTCCAGAGGTCCTGAGTTCAATTCCCAGCAACCACATGGTGGCTCACAACCATCTGTAATGAGATCTGGTGCCCTCTTCTGGCCTGCAGACAGACATACATGCAGTCAGAACATTGTATACTAAATAAATAAATCTTAAAAAAAAAAAAAAGAGACTACAGAAACAACTAAATGGCAGTATTCCCCTACCAATTCTTGCCTTACATGTAAATTATTAAACTCTATAATCAAAGGACATATGTTGACTTAATAGTTTTTTTTTAAGTTCTAAATCATGTTTTCCAATGAGATGCTTGATTTATCTAAGGACACACATGAGCTGAAAGTGAAAAGATGGAGAAAGACATTCCATATAGTAACCAAAGAGAAAAATGACTCCTAGACAAAATAGAATCTAAGCGTGTGTCTGTGTGTGAACTTCCCAGAGAAAGGACATCATGAACATGTAGGAGGCATGAGAGCTCCTACACACATGAAGAAAATGTCCACAGAATTGCAGGTAGAAACAGGCAACAGCACAGTAGTAGATCTCCCATTCACTTTCAGTGAAACGGGAGCTCAGGAAGGGAGGTGGCACCACCATGGACTAGTGGAACCTAACAGACATGCTGAATCTCCGCCCCAACAAGAGCAGAATACACTTGAATGTTTTCCCAGTGAGGAACCACCTTAGGCCACAAAACAAGTCTTGACAAGTGCACCAGGTTGAAACAGTACAAAGTATCTTTACCAATTACAGTGGGATAAACTAGAGGCAAAACCACAAAGAAGGGGAATTAGCCGGGGTTGGGGGGTTGTTTCATGGGGTAACACACATCTTCAATCCCGGCATTGGAAATCGCATGCAGGTCTATTGAGAGTTCTAGGCCAGCATGGTTTACATAGTGAGACCCTGCCTCAAAAACACAAGCCTAGAAATACATAAATGTGTAGAAATTAAGCAATACATTTGAAAATACTAGAGTGAAGAGGTAACAAAATATTGGGAAATACTGCAGACGAATGAAAATGGAAAGAATGTAACAAAATTTGTGAACCGCAACAAATGTAGCACTAAAGAAATACAGGACTGTCAAATGGATACTTTAAAACCAGAGGATACAAAATCAAGCTAACAACCTTTCTAGAAACTAGTTAAAAAACAAACCTAAAGCGAAAGGAAACAACAGAAGGACCAGTCTTTGAGGATAAAGCCCCCAGGTAAAGAAAAAAAGGAGAAAATATGAACGACTAAAAGCATAATGACAACCAGTGACAAAGAAATAGACGGAGGGGTTGGACAGATGGGTCAGTGGTTAAGAGTCAGTACTGCCCTTCCAGAGGACTGAAGTTCAATTCCAGCACCCACACTGGGTGGCCCACAACCACATGTGTAACTCCAGCTTCAGGGAATTTGACGCCTCTGGTCTCCACGGGCACCACCCTCATGTGCACAAACACACCCAAATTAAAAACGAAGTCTAAATTCTATAACAATAAATAAGGTAAACAAAAAAGTCGGAAGATTCCTAGGAACAGACAACAGACCAAGATGGCAATATGAAGAAGCAGAAAAGCTAAACGTCAATAGTGAGAAGACTGAATCAGTAATCACCTCCCCCAAGCCCAAGATCAGATGGCTTCACAAAAGACTTCTATCAGAGCCTTCAAGAAAAGTTTAACACAGAGTTTTCTCAAGGTTCTATCTGAAAACCAAGAGGCAGCAACTCTTCCAAGCTCAGTTTCTTAACGTCATCAGCCTGACGGCAAACAAGGAAGAGATACTGCAAGAAAACGATGCATCCCTATTCCTGATGAATACGTTAAGAGGAACATTCACCACCACGATCAAATGGAATTTATTCTTGGAATGCAAAGTTGAGTTAATGTATGAAAATCTGCCAGTGTAGCACATCAGGTTAACAATGAAGAGGGGAAACACCCACGTGATTATCTCAATTGGTTCAGATAAAGCATTATTGGATATCTAGAACTTGGATCAGACGACACTCAGCAGATCAGAAGGAAATTAACCCAAGCCAGGGAGTAAGATGACTCAGTGGGTGAAGGAGCTTGCCACCAAGCTGATGAAAGAATGGAATTAGACCCCAAGACTTACCTCGTTTACAAAAATTAAGAGAAAGTAGTTTTAAATTCTTAGGGTTTTTGTTTTTGTTTTTGTTTTTATTTTGTTTTTCCAGACAGGATTTCTTTGTGTAACAGCCTTGGCTGTCCTGGAACTCGCTCTTGGCTGGCCTTGAGCTCA